CCAGCTTGACGGTCACTCCGCCGACGTTGCACGCGCCCCGGCGTATGTTCCCCTGCTTTCGCCTCCTTCTCCTCTTTTCCTGTTTTCCATGCGCGGCGGCGGGCGCGGCGCAGCTATTCACCAAATTTAGTCACGTGATGAGCAAAGCATCCAGGGCGTGCAGGAAAGCCGGCGCTACGGTTCGATAAGATGTCCTGGAACCTTACGGGTTTCCCGTTTTTTTTTTTTTAATTTTTTTTATTTCGGGGTTATTTTTTCGGTTATTGCTTTCCTCGACGACAACTCAGGCGCAGATTTGTAGCCTCCACCCCCTTAGACTCCTCGGAATGCCATACAACGACGCCTACCCCAGCCACAAGCCAGTGGACCCCCTCTAATTATCTTGAGAGTAGTGTTATCCCCGGCGCAAAGAGGGAGCCGGCCCGAAACAAGCCAGAAACCGAAACTCGGCTAATTTTGCTGAAATTTGCACTCTATCTGTCGGTGCATCGATCTCATGTTTTAGAGCGCAGCTCTTAGGCGCCCGTTTCCGGCTTGAGCGGCGTCGGCGTAACCATGAGGTCACGTGACCCCCGTGAGGTCACGTGGCCCCCGTGAAGTAACGTGACCCCGGTGACGTCACGTGGCCTTACGGTTACGCCGACGGCGACGCCCGCGCCACTCGGAGGGAGGAGTAGCAGGCAGGGAGAGGAGGGGAGGAGAAGAGAGGAGGGGTATACGCTCCCCTCAGTACCCTTCCCTCCCCCTCCTCAAGAGCTGCGCTCTAATTCGGTTTTACAGGGACTTGTTAGCGGCTCTCATTTTTAAACTGGAATCAGTCATATTATACGGGAAAAAACACTGCGGAAGCGACCGCGGTACATGGCTCATAGCTTTACTGATACTCAAACATTCCACTTTATTTCAGTTTCGCTTGACATTGAATTGGCTCATTTCGAAAAGAAAAAGTTCTTTACCTATGATCTTGTAAAAAAAGATAACCACATGACCCAAAAAACGCCCAGCAACCCTTGACGCTGTTACTTGGTACCACAGCGTTTACTTATTTGAGTGATTTGCGGTGACGGCGTCTCGTCCGGGTGAACAAAACAAAACAACAAATGCGGCGCTCGGTAAAAGATGAGGGGCCTTAGTGGCAATTCAGTTTCGCGAAGTGATTAATCGAATATTTTTCTTAATGGCGTTGTTCCAATTGAATTACGCTTTGATGAGTACGTATGTAAGAGGCAACACTATATAAACTTCTGGTAATTAATTTTTTGGCCTTTCGGCAGTACAACATAGAGTTTTGCTTCCGTGCAATTAAAACGAAATCCTGTGCTCTGGGGAAAAAAGCCGAGACTCTAATGGCTGCTGATTGTATCACGAACTGGTTAATTTCGTTTCTTTTTTCGCACAAGGAGATCGGGCACTTTTTTGAGTGAGTAGCTTTATTTTTTTGAAGCACTGCTTCGCAGGAATGAACTTTAGGCTCTGAGTGGCCGCTATTTAGGATTGACCGCCATTCCGACTTGTGGTAGATTATTTCGCAACATTATGACACAACGACATGAAAGAAATGTACGGCATATTTTGTTTTTGTAATGACGATATCAACAATCTGCATGCTACTTGGAAATCGTATCGCACGAAAAATCTCGGAAGACGAAGTAGCCGAAAAACTAAGCGTTTAAAACGTTTTTTTTTTCTTCAGCCCGATTTTTTTTAAAAATCTGGTTACAATGGGACAAACGGCCCACTTTGCGATGACTTTGGAAGCCCGCACCACTCCCCGGACCCCGATATCCTCGCAGCTGACGCTAGAAAGTAATTAACTTAGAATTACAATTCCTTCTGGTTGAAAGTAATTAATTACAATTACAAATTACCAAAAAAGTAAGTAAATTACAGTAATTCAATTACTGTAATTGAATGACTATTCAAGTATGACCCTGATATCCTCGGGGGGCTTTGGGTCAAGTCGCCCGCTGATAACGGGAACAAAAAGACGAGCTTTTCCTTTGGAACCGGAGAGGAAAGGCTTCCTCTCCGGTGCCATCTGGATTCTGGGTAAGTTCCTATCGGAGATGAAATTTTACTTTGATTTCCTCTTAAACATTGTGGGGACCACGTGTTTCCCGTCTCCCTATCTAGGCCTAGCACAAGCAGGCCGTGGGAGCGTTATGGCGACGTCATCCCGGATACGGGGGTAAGGCCGCATTCCTCGAAGAGGGCGTGTCTTCCCTCGCCCTTTTGGGTGAAAGTGCCTCCGGCGCACCCTTCGGAAATGATTGTGGACGCGGCCCATCTGCGGGATAAGCCACACTACCTACCCCGGGCGCGTCCACTTTCCGCTGGCTAGATAACCGGCCCCGAACGGCGGCCCGGACTCTCGTCGGGGAAGGCTCTGGGCCACGGAGCCTCGTTCTTTTTGGAGCTTTCCCCTCTCCGCGAATCTGCCTAATGCGGCAGCGTGGGCCCCCTTCAGGTGAATCTGTCTAATGCGACAGCGCCGACCCTTTTCCGTTCTTTTCTTTTATTAGTTTGGCCGACGGGCACAGCGTGGTGGCACAACAGCCAAATAAACCCGCTTCTTCAGTATCTTTGTGTTTTGGAGTGAATCATCTCCTCGGAGTCCACGGCAGCCTCCGGACGGACCCGGCCGTAGCAGTCCTCAACATCGAGCTGCGGAGTGGGATCGACCTCGTGGTGCAGTAAGGCAAGTCCAATCCCACATTTGGCGCCCAACGTGGGGCCCGAACCCACGACCCCGAGATTAAGAGTCTCGTGCTCTACCGACTGAGCTAGCCGGGCAGCGTACCCGCCGTGTCGAGCAACTCGTGTTGTTGCCGACGTGTGTGCCGTGAACAGTCTCGTATTGCTGTTGGCACGGGGTTTTTATTTGGGATCGGTTTCTGTTCTTGTTGATGCGGATAAACTCGTGCTACGGCGCTTGGCCTCTACGAACATTGCAGTTCAAGATGGCTGTCATGTGCGACTGCGAGTTGCATTCGGTGCTCCCCTAGTTCGCGTTGGCCAGGGCAGCACGCGGCTCCAAGACTTTTCGAAGTTAGGTCGCTGTGCCATACCTGGCCACAGGAATTTATGGTTTAGCCTAAGGTAAAAGCTAACATGTTTGGAAAATAACAATGTTGGCAAGCCTGCCCGATTGCAGCCCTGCATCGTTTCAATATCAAGAAAGGACAGGGTGGCGCATTTGACATTTCATTGCGCCCGCAAATCGAAGCGATTAGGCATCGTTAGCAAAAGCAGCTACAAAGAACTTTGCCTCTTCGAATAGTCACCAACAAATCCATTGTCCGGGGTGACGCGAGTCAGCTTGGTATGTGGACATCCGTGTTCACATTAAGCGGAGTCGTGGAACTATTTTCACAATAACTTCGCAAGCCGAGCCAGTGCGATGCACGTGACTCACGGCAGAAAAGACACCCTTGTCTCTGCTTTTTTCTTTTTTTTTTTATCTCTGGGTCCTTGAGCACCCAGGGATTGGTCGAGTGTCCTCAGTTGGACGGCTCGACCTTGCTCAGAATTTCCGAGGTTTCTTGGGGAAAGAAACGGGAGAGGGAAGCAGAGCGCAGGTTGCATTCCAGTACCAGGCGGGTGTGAGTCATGGCGCGGCCCACGAGGGGGACAACAATGCCGGGGCAGCGTCATCATTCGCCGGGGCAACGTCATCATCGCCGAGGCTGCCTGTCCCCCTGCCGGCCCGAAAGACTTTTTCACTTCCGCTGTGATCAAGATGGCGTCAGGTGTCTTCCCGCTGCCTGGTTCCGTCTCCAACCCTGGGAACCTGGAGCTGGGGACTTGCTGCCATTCAAGGACTGCAAGTGTCATTCCCCGACACACTTTGCCGTCTCGGCGACCCTGCTGCTGTCCCGACCTGCGGATTCCCGTTCCGATGCCTGGAGCCCGCCTGCAAGCCACCTGCACTGCGGGTGGGCACTCGTGCCGACGCCAACGACGGGGCGCGTCGTCGGGAGGCGCTCCGGCGTCGTCATTCCTGGACTTCGGCCAAGACATCGTCCTGTCCCTGCGCCATGGTGAGCCACGGACTTCAACGCCGGGAGCGTCCCCGAAGATTTTTCATTTGTTAACCCCAGCATGTGGTGTCGGGACCGGACGCGGTAGTTTTTTTTCGGTTTCGTTTTTTTTGTTTGAGAGTCGGTAGGCCAATTTTGTTTTTAGTCCTACCTTAGCCTTAAGGGGGGAGGAGTGTGGGGACCACGTGTTTCCCGTCTCCCTATCTAGGCCTAGCACAAGCAGGCCGTGGGAGCGTTATGGCGACGTCATCCCGGATACGGGGGTAAGGCCGCATTCCTCGAAGAGGGCGTGTCTTCCCTCGCCCTTTTGGGTGAAAGTGCCTCCGGCGCACCCTTCGGAAATGATTGTGGACGCGGCCCATCTGCGGGATAAGCCACACTACCTACCCCGGGCGCGTCCACTTTCCGCTGGCTAGATAACCGGCCGCGAACGGCGGCCCGGACTCTCGTCGGGGAAGGCTCTGGGCCACGGAGCCTCGTTCTTTTTGGAGCTTTCCCCTCTCCGCGAATCTGCCTAATGCGGCAGCGTGGGCCCCCTTCAGGTGAATCTGTCTAATGCGACAGCGCCGACCCTTTTCCGTTCTTTTCTTTTATTAGTTTGGCCGACGGGCACAGCGTGGTGGCACAACAGCCAAATAAACCCGCTTCTTCAGTATCTTTGTGTTTTGGAGTGAATCCTCTCCTCGGAGTCCACGGCAGCCTCCGGACGGACCCGGCCGTAGCAGTCCTCAACATCGAGCTGCGGAGTGGGATCGACCTCGTGGTGCAGTAAGGCAAGTCCAATCCCACAACATATAGAAACATCAGCTTTGTAAAATGAAATAGTGTCCATCCTTCCCTCTCCCATTCCCTCAGCCTCCGGTATACAGAGTCCACGATAAGCGCCCCAAGTGGCCTGTCCAGTAACGTGACTATTCTTATCAGCTTTCATATATAAGCCTCCCTTCTTTTGCTCGTCGGGTCGTCTAGGGCGCCCTCAGTCCACACGCAAGCATGGAGTGCTACGGAGGTAAGCGAAATGTTTCGAAAATAAATCTGCTAATTCAAAAACTCTCGTCTGATGCGCTTAACCTTCAGCAAATGTACAGCTGACGGTTATGAAATTGGACACTCACAGCCCGATTGAAAAATGGCGGGGTCGGCGCGGCGTGGGGTGTTCGATTTGTGACAGCCTGGCTCTTTTTCCTCTCAATCCACGGTTTCTGTCTTGAGATCAAAATGTCCCTCATGATCAAGCCATCGAGAAATATCTGGAAGCATGTTAACAGAAGCACATGTATCAGTACCGTACTCGCGGGCAGCTTTCTGTGGCTATGCAGTCAAAGCTATGAGCGCACGGACACTCGCGCACCAATTGAGCGCCGGTCAAAGCTGCGCATGCGCGCTCTTCTCTACTTCTGAAATGCCGCAGGAAGTTGTCCGCGTGTATAGAAACTTGCTGTTTAATACGAATAAGCATTTGTTCCTTCGCGTATTCTACCTGACGTCCGTTAAACAAGTATGTCATGCTCTTCGCACCCCGTAAATATAGACTACACGTGAAACGGCGGGGAACCTTTGGCAGGTGCCCATACAGCATAGGGCGCAACAACGCCCGAGTCAAAAGTCGGAAGCAAGTTTCGAAGCAGTTCAATGCACGGGTGGTGTTCTTCAGTGGCATCGCACTCTGACATGCAGACGTGTAGGTGTCAGAGCAGTCAATCTGCGCCACATAGAATTTGATCATATGGTACGATATGTCTAGAACAGTTCCGACAATATCTGAAACCTCATATGCAGGAGAGAGAGGCGGGGAAGAGTGCCGCTCAAAAACGGAATGTCCAGCAATAAGTATACGCGGCGTAAGCTAGGTATTTTCGCTCCATTTATTGAAACTGAGCGCGTTGGGTGAATAGATACGAATTCTTAAATGGATAAAGCACCGGGGGACAAAAAAGAGTCCCGTTTCCGTACCCGTCCTCGATGTTTTATCCTATCAAGTATCGTTTCGCTCCATTCTGCACTCCTGCAGCAGACGCCTTATTCCTTCAACGTGATGTCGTGCCCAGCTTGCCGCCTAAAGCGAGGAACGCAACCCACAGAGAAGACGCGAGTTGATGCAAAGAGGGCCAAGAGACCTTGTAGGTCCGTGGCCGGGACTTGCTCTAGGCTCAGGGAAGCAATCAAGCTATACTTGGGGACAAACTTTACTGGCATTTCCGAAGAAGTGAAGACCGCGTGAGCACAGCTCTCATCGACGCTCAATGCTCCCGAGCGCACGGGTACCCATATATCTTTGACTTCATTGCGGGCCCACGTCTTCCCGCGGGCCCACGTTTGACCGCTCTCTCGTTCTCTCGCAGCAAACACGTACAAGCCAGTGTGCGAATGGGTGATCTGCCTCGAGGATCGTATTCCCTACCACGCCGTGCCTGGCGGAGAAGACAGCGGAGAGACTATCTACATTGGTCGTGCCGTCCACAACGGTAGCGTCATCCCGGGCAAGGTGGTGCCGTCCCACAAATGCTGCTACGTGTCCGACGACGGCGCCGAGCATAGCCACCATGAGTACCAGGTGCCCGTGTTTCGAGCCATGCTACCGTTCACGTTGCCAGAGCTTAAGAGCCCTGTGTGTCCCCAATAATAAGTCACAATGAAAAAAAAAAAAAAAAAGTCTGTAAAGACAGAAGATTGCATGCCACCCACTTTGTCATGTAGAATACCAGCTTTCACTTATAGTTTTTTTTTTTAAGTCGTGGTGCTGGGTTCAAATGCAGTGTACACGTTTTTTTTTTTTTTTTTTTCCTGGTCTTGTCTGGCACATCATCAGGGGCCCTAAACTCGTCAAACACAAAGTTGGATGCGATAGTTCGCGGAGCGCGCCGATTGGATGCCGGCGACAAAATCGCGAAGTCATCGTCGTGATAGTTCAATCGATGCGCTCCATGAACTTCGACCCCAACTTTGTGTTTGACGAGTTTAGAGTGCCAGAAGGTGCCCATTCTTCGATCTTTTTTTTCGTGCTCAAATAAATGATAAAAGTACAAAAATCGAGTCTTACAGTACCATCCAAGAGAAGATAGTTTACGTTTGTATTAAAAATGATAATAATATCCTTCTTTATTTTCTGCCTTTAAATATGAAACAATGTACTAAGAAAGGTGTTCGACCTGCGGAACTTTACTTTGTATATTCCATTTCACAAGTGAAGTCCACTTTAATAAACTAGAGGGGCGGGTGGTGTTGGATTTTTAACAAAAAAAGTATATTGCGTTGCTGTAAAACTGTAGCGGAAACGAAATATGTATGTACGTAAATTTGATTGACACGCAAACGCTCGCGCAATTCAGTGATTTATACCTCCACCCAAATTCTCTCGAAACTCCTCACTTGTGGTCGTTACCGCGAGCTTAACATCTGTAAAGAAAAACATCAGCGATAGAGTAAACCGAACGTGGTGGAGGCTCACCACCAGCAGGCGCTCAACCACAGATAGGGCAATCAGCTGATACGCATGTAGTTACTGATGCAAGCCGTGGGTAAAACAATTTATGATATGTGAAAAAAAAAAAAAAAAACTATGACAGTATCTGAAGAACAAGTGAATGTTCGCGTTCAACAAACACTCAATTGAGTTGTAGCAGTTTTAGTTCTAGTGAAGACGCCCTCTTTGTCACGAGATTTCATCGTCACGCTCGGCTTTATCTTAATTTAGAGCTGCAGCGAAGGCTACTGGCTCGCACAAACTCTGGAAAGGCGTTGGTTTTTATCGGCCATTCGCGCCATGAATGCAGCTCTTGGAGCTAAGATCTCGTGCTCATTGTGTGCGTGAGTGCTCGACTTGGGTAGGCATACTGGAAGCAACAGTCTCAAATAAAAGCATTGCCAAGGCTGGAGCGAGCGATCCCATGAGACATGATTTTCACGTGTCACTCGGCTTTAGCGCATAACTTATAATCAGGCTGGCTTAAATAAGATGCTGCTTCGAGCGAGCCAGCCCTCTATGCAAGCATGAGAATTCCCACATTGCCCTTGGGGAGGATTGGATAAACAAAAGCACGTGTCCACGCTATTGAATCTGACACTCGAGGGCCTTAGCTACGGTGTATGATATGTCGTGGCCATAGCACTAAAGTTCCAAGTCTTGCTTCCATTTTTCTTTGCACGTGTTCAGGCCCTTGTCACGGAGAGCAGCCAGTTCGACTGGATCCCAGCCTCCGACGGATCCCTGCCCACCGGCGCTGTTCAAGGCGGCTCGTGCGCGACCGGCGAGCTTCTTTACATCGGTCGGACGTACCACGAGGGCACCCTGACTATCGGAAAGATCCATCCGTCCCACGGCTGCCTCTACATTCCCTACGGCGGTGAAGAGCACTGCTACCGGGGCTACGAAGTGCTTGTTTGCAAGACCGTCAACTTTTGAGCATTGATGGAGAGGCCCCAGAACTGGCCAAGGTAGCGGTTGGATGAACTAGCACAGTGGCTCAGATGGCATTCTCTTTTCAAAGTCTACGAGGTGGAGGATCACCGAGACACAAGGACTAATAAGCTTTTCAGTTCAGTTTATGTCGCTGTTTGTGGGTTTAATAAAGCGCATGTGTAGCACCTAGTTGCTTCAAAGTTGCGGTAGGGGAAGGCTTCCGAACGAGGCTCATCCCGATTTATTCATTTCGCCTGCAGGTTGCCCGCTAGTCGCTCTGGCGATAATTGTGGAAAGTACGACATAAATTAAAAAAGAAAGACAGCTACTTCCACCATCGACGAAAGCGAGCTTCACTGTTATGATTCCAACAGCACAAACCTGTGGCCAAATTCCCGAAGTAACAAACTTCCGCTTTATAAGTCTGTTGAGCACAGACTACAGATAATGACCAAAATATTTGCACGGCATCTGGACATTGGACTGAAAAACGCCATAGGAGAACACCAAACTTGCGGATTGAAAGGACGGTTCATTGATGGCAACCTTCACCCCATGCGATTTGTCTGAAGCGACAGCGGAAAAACATGAACCATTGGCGGTGGCAGATGGATCTCAGTTAAGCGTTTGATCGAGTGTCCCACAAGTTTCTCATGAAGGTCTTGGAATGATGAGGGGTGGGCGCTGGGATGAGAGATTCGATAGCGCTGCGCTACAACAGCATTACCACACCGCCTCTAACTAATGGGAAGAAAGGAAAGCCCGTTTCGGTTCAGTGCTCTGTGCAGAAAGGCTTCCCCGTGTCACCAATTTTGTACGCTCTATAGCTGGAGCCATTGTGCCTCAAGGTGCAGCGTAACACGTTGATCTTCGGTCTTAAGCTGGAGGTAGCATCTGTAAATCTCCTGTCATACGCAGACGACGTTTCCTTTAAATGCTCTTCAACCGACAAGTCGAAAGAGTTTTGGATGAACTTGAAAGCTACGGTCGGTGTTCCGGGAGAAGAGTCAATAAGAACAAGTCCAAAGGGTGCTGAATCGGAGAGTGGGCTATAAAGCCATCGGAGTTCATAAACGTTAAGTGGTCTACAGGCGGGGAAAAGTATCTCGGCATGCCTAAGAATCTGTCAGCACCCACGTCGCAACAATGGAAGCAGAAATCCGTGACCATACCAGCAAAACTTTCTTTTTTTGGACAGCAAGACGCTTGTCAATGTTCTCCAGAAGCTATGTTTTCAACGCGGTGTCATACCCTGCTATCCTTTGTGTGGCGCAAGTTGCTTGTTGCGGCGCAGGCACAGTGAAAGATATCCACAGACGTTGGGCCACGTTCATTTGGCAGTGGCGAATGGAAAAGATGCGAAGGAACAACGTATTGTAGACTTTAGAAAGCGGTGTCTTGTGGCTTGTGAATGTAACCCTCAAACTTTATGTGCAGCGTTGTCTATTCTACAGAGATCAAAGAGATCCAAACTTCACGACCGCATTCCCTTAGGATATGAAAACCTGCAACAATGGACGGTGAGCACCACGGGTCGGAAGACCACGTCGAGGCATCTCAGCTATTACAATGAAGTTGCCGACTCAATCAGACTCTTCTTAGTTCACTTCTCTAAGAGTATCGTCGGACGATAAAACGGAAGACACTTCACTGGGACACTATTTCAGCAGTTTTACCAGTACCGTTGTACCGACAGTGCACCAACGGTCCCAGCCCATCTGATGTCTTCAAGCAGCTGAGAAAGCTGCCTATGCTTACAAGCAACAAACTTTTCTTTGTTTACTTTCACGTTGAAGTGTTCCTTGTGAAAGTGTGGCTTGATAAGAAAGGCTTCTTTGTGCCGTGGTCGCTAAACTGTGCTTGGTGAGAGGTGTCTGAAACCTTACATCACGTGTTTGTGTGGTGCAGCAACACTTACCTTTTTTGAACGGAACTGAAGTGCCTTTTCACTGTAAAGTTTGAAATTAACTAAAACATGTTCAAATGGTTGTGTCTTGAGAGCGAGGAGAGCTCTCCACTTGTGCTGCGTGTTTTGGTGGTGCTCGGACTGCTCGCGATTTGGCGATCCCGAACTGGGTATCTCTGGTGCGACATCCGTGCCAAGCCAACATGGTGGCATTTTGCGGCCAAGTTGAGGTGGACTCTCAGTGTTGCGGCGAAAAGGTTTCCAGGGGAGAAGGAGCTGTGGGAATGCTTGGGAGAAGAGCGTGTTGGTTTAAGTCATGGATGAAGAAGGAATAAAACAATCAAAACAGGGACAACACCAACCACATCTTTCAACTAGCAAAAGACGAGTAAACTTTCAACAGCGAGCGGCCGACTATACCCAGTAGGAGTAAGGGAGAGAAGGGGTAGAGAAGGAAAGATAAGAAACGCGAAGTGCAAGTCAGGGTGGTAGGGTTATCTCGGATTTTAAAAATTCAATCTCAGTTTTCGTCAGCAGGAGGGAAGGGTTAAACACGTTGTTTTTTGCTGTGGTCATGGCGAGTGATTCTATGATTTCCCTGCCGAATCTGCTGTCATGCCCCCCCATCAAACACGAAAAGAAATTCATTCCATGCAGAGAAGAAAGTATACTCGTTCCCCTTGAGCTGCGGCCATCAATACATAGGACCAGACCGGCAGATGCACCAATCACAGACTCCGCGAACATCACAACGAAGTTTCTAAGGCCTCTCCAGATTCTTATCATCCCATAGTCATACATGCCCGTTCGTGTTTGTGTTGTCATCCCCTCTTTGATGGCACAAAAATCCTGGGGAGGGGGGGGGGGGGGGGGGGGGGCATGACAGCAGATTCGACAGTGCGAGTCAACGGAGCGAGCGCGGGCGGCCAAATCACAGCGCACTCGGCTCTCGCGTCGCAATTGTTGATTCAGAGCTCTGCCTACCCTTATGACATGTTCGCGGGTATTCAGAAACGGCTCCTCTCGACGGCACGCGGGTCAAATGAACCAAAATGAACAGCTAACAGCGCGATAGGAATCGGTAGCAACGGTAGTATACTCACCCCGGGAACGACGGGCGAAGCGGCGTGTTTTCCGTCTGCACTCCCGTCGAAAAAGGCAAAATAAAGACAAATACTCTAAAGATACAAGAAATATCGCTCGCAGAAGAGAATAGAAACACTTAGAAGCAATACAAAATACACTGGAATGGATAAAAATAGGTAATGGAATCGAAAAACAGAGGATTCAGAGGAGGCAAGCGGCAAACCTAAAAGTACACTTGCATGCCTCGATAACTGGCCCTTTTCAGGTGGCAAATGTTCTTGGTTCCTGGGACGAGCAACACAAAGGAGCAACAGCCACCAAAGTTTTTGTTTGTTTCCTAAAGGAAACGCGCCTGGACTTCTGCTTGTAGATGATGAACCTCGGTACTCCCGAACAGTGCAGTGTTTGTAGTGTTCAAAACTTGTAGTTTTCACGCCTTTTATTTTCTCCCTTTTTCCCTAACTCTTTCTTTTTTCAACCTCTCCTTTAATCTCCCCACTCACCTCCCCCCCCCCCCCCCCCCCCCCCCGCCGTCCCCCGCGCAGAGCAGCCAACCGGGGCAATTCCCTAGGATAACCTCTGTCTTCCACTTCTGGTCTTCCTTCCTTACTAACCGGGGGTTAATCATTGCATGGGGCAATATGACAAAATTAAACCTAGACAGATTATACATCGCACAAAAACGATTTTACGTTTAGTGGCCAATGTTTTATTATCAAAATTTAAGGTAACGCGCGTTTTTGAGTTGTATACACAGACATTAATCCAGAAATACAAAGATAATATTTATTATAATAACAAATCATTCCTTCACTTAGCTTCGCTGGATAAAAACTCCTCGTCTTACATACGCGTAGTCGAGAGCACAGAAGAGTGCCGCATCTCAGGACCAAGTACGGATTTCAAATGCTTCAGTATACTGTACCATCTACCATTAATGAACGCGTTAAAAATAATATCCACATATAAAATATGTCAAATTACCAAATTAGACAATTGTATTTTAACAAAAAAATAATATATTAAAAGTTCTGTTCTGTTTTTGATATCAAAAGCTGTATCATGCTCTGTCTGTTTCTTTTTTTTCTTTTTTTCTTTTTTGCAAGTGCCGACTAATCTGCCCAAGTCTGTATGGGAGGCAGGGACTTGTCAAGCTACGCAATGTAACTTTTTTTTTTCCCCCTGTCTCCTCCTCCAAACTGGAGTCAATAAAAATGAATTGAATTGTATTGAATTCATCAAAAGCTCTACTGAACAAAAAAAACGGTGAGTTTTTTTTTGTTCAGTCAAACTCTTTTTAAAGAGTTTTTTTTTGTTCTGTTTAGAAGCTGTTAGTTTTTTTGTTTTTATTTGGAAGGATATATTTTTGTTTGGAAGTTGTTTTCATGTTGCTTTGGTATGCACTCCATTGCACAACCATTGCAACGTTGACCTCATGCTTGAGTCAAGAACCCCTCTGTCAGCTGCAATGCCATATATGGCCATTTTGAAAGAGCCTACATATCGACCTGCCCGCAACGGACCAACAAGATAGCCTATCTTCGCTCGGACGCTCGTTTCCGCTCTGGCTGCAATGCCGCGGCTGAAGTCGTTGTATGTCGCAATCTGAGCATTCAAAGGCGAGATAAGCGTGCCTACCTGCACGCCCCGTCGCCACTGCTCTCTGGAACGCCCCATTCCAGGCACCACCACGAACGCGTCGTGCACAAGTGTAGGCTCTTGGACGCCCTTTTTTTTTTTTACCAATAATGTTTCTCGTTTTATTAATGGCTGTTGTTTCACATTGCAGTCATTTGACTTTAGAACGTTTTCAGTATAGTCAGACTATGGTTGTACTAATACCCTTTTTTTTGCGGAGCCATAAACACTACGCATTCCAATTCATCATCATCATCATCCCGAGTTCTAAACTTCCATGTATCACTGTGCCGCGATTCCTTCATTCTGCGATGTGCTCAAAGCTTTCCAAAACCGGAACGCAACTTTTTAAAGGTCTAGTTTCACCACATAATGATCAAAATGACGACTGGGAATACTCGTTAGTACAGTTTGTTACACTTTATCTGTGAGCGAAACCGAAGCTACAAGTACAAACATGTTGCCCTGAATGGTGTTTTCAGTGTTTAAGATCGTATACTGGGTCCGGAGCTCGCTCTCGAAGCTTCTGCTACTCTCGCACTTAAAGGAAACATGAAATGAAATTCGCCCTGGGATAAATGAATTTTGATTGGGACTTTACAAATCACGTATCGTTTAGTGGGTCAAAAGAAAGAGGGTAGAAAGTGGAAAGCCTGCATTTCGGTACGAATATTTTAATATATAGAAGAATATTTCTTAGCTCCTTTCCTTCGAAAGCTCTCCGCCTTCTCACTGTGATGCCCAAGAACGTCCGCCGAACCCAGCTCACGCACTCGACACGAGCACTGCGTCACTCGGACGCAGGCGCTTGTCAACAATCAAGCCATCGACGAATATTTGGATTCGTGTTCGTACCGTGACGGCACTTATCATCACTTGCGAATGACAAGTTCCATGGTGTGCTTAAAAAGCACGGTTGAAGCTTGGAGTCATCGCATCCGTTGCCCAAGCACATCACGACCACGTGATCTCTTATTTCGCGTTTAAGTTTAGGATTAAAGCCAAGGAGGAAGATGTTTGAAATAAATTTAGCGGTCCCTTTAAAATGAAACGAAGTACAGCCACGAGATACGATCCTCGCGCATGTTGCGGTGAAGATAGGAACTACATTAACCCATACGCACCAGGCAACCAGCTTGTGTACCGCCTGTTTAACATGTTATAACTCTCTCTCTCTCTCTCACACGCACACGCACGCACGCACACACGCACGCACACACGCACGCACACACGCACACACACAAACAGACAGACAGAGAGACAAGCAAACAAACAAAGGCGATTTCAGAGAAAGTTAGAAGCTCCTACTGCGCGAGAGATTGTGCAGCCGAAATATCACGCCTTTGCTGAAGAACATCTTAAGGTGAAACAAAGCTAGGTCTTAATTACCATGCATCACGTGATCACTTTATTCTCTTACGCAGTTAAACGTAGGTTAAAGAGGTGTCCATTGGATAAATAAAAGCCCCTAAATGTGGCCCACGGAAACAAGCTCCAGGCTTTGAGCGTGCGTGCTGCGCACGCGCACATATGCAGTGTAAGAAAGGCAACGTGCCAGCGCTTAGACAACCATGGAGCAAAGTTCGCGGGAAAATCGCACTACAGCCAGTCTTTCCGGAGATAAACTTTCCGTTCGTCGCCAAAAGACCGTATCACACTTCTTAACATATGACAGATTGTGCGTTTACCGCGGCTATTTTCGCACCAGACATCAACAAGAGAGACTGCAACCTTCGAAGTCCAACAACCCGCTTTCACCGTCCGAAGGTAAAGCTGAATTTGTCGTCGGATGCTTGATGCTGAACATTGTGGGAACGCAATTGGCTTACACGTCTAACCAAAAGAAACAACGCAACGCCAAAATTAAAAAAAAAAAAAAGAAGCTACATTTATTATTAAAATTATTTCTTTCGCTTTTTTTTTTTTTTTTTTTGTGTATATAAAATTTTCCGAACTTGAATCACACCTATAATTTTCGCTGAGGTGGATGAGCTGTTTTTGTAGTTTTCACAAGTTCTGACAAGGCATGATATTAAAGATATTTTATTGGTAAATGACACCTGTCAACGTTCTCAAGATCTTTCTACCTGCTGTCCGGTAGAAGGTCAGCTGCTGCCTCGTGCTGTGGATGGTTCTCATTTGAGCCTATTCGCATCTCGACCTCCACATTTTGACCTTCTCAAAACGTCCTTCTCAGTTGGGCCCGCCGCATTTGGTCCGTTCTCGATACATCTTTCGGGTTTCATTCTCCAAGGAGAAAAAGAAAAGTATAATGGGAGCACTTCGACGTGTCGGTGTTATGGCTTAGTCACCGCATATTCCCGAAGAAGTTTCTTCAAGCCCCCGCCCCCCGCCGCCCCCCTCCCCTTAGCAACTATCCTACACGCACGCGAACACACACACACGCACACGTGCTTCGGTTTCGCGGTTTGGCTGATGATTCCTTCCTGGAGTACGCCCGTTCTGCTGTTGAAACACGCAGCGTAGGTTAGGGCCCACTCGTTGGTTTGACAGAATGTTGTTGCAGGCGCTGGGCAATAAAACACCGAACTTCTCCTTTGTGTCGAAGCGCGGCTTCGTATGCCCCAGTTTTCCCGGGCCGCAGTAGGGTACACTCGGAGTGGTGCCCCTCCACTCCAGAGTATTTTTCTCTTCTTAAAATGGACTGCAGCGCACGCTACAAGCCGTCGGAGTCAATGCAGGGCTGAGTACCACGAGTCATTCGGACGTAGTGGGAGCGGAACCAAATGCGAATAGGCCCCAATGCGAAACAACCGGTTTGGATGGTTTGAGAAGGTTCAAACGAGAAGGTCCAAATGAGAATGGGGCGAAATGTGAAAGGGCGAAATGCGAATGGGACGTTTCGAGATGCACCCCATGCCGGTACTTTTTAGGCTCACATTACCTAATTTGGGGTCATCATAATCAGAATACACACGATAAAAGTTTCTCAGAAATCCATAGAAAGAACGTCAAAGACGCCGGCAAGCTGGTAAATTCCCATCACTAAGGGAAAACCCGACACTGAGGAACCCAAAGCACAGATACCTCTCGGCGCGTTCTGTCCTTGTCTTGTGCTCCTGTGTCATGCGTTACTATGCGATGAAAGCGTGCTTAAAACAAGAACTGATAGCGAGCTTAGGGAAGAGGTGCGAGTAGGGAGTCTTCCTAGATGAGCTGATGTAAGTCCGTAATGAAGAAGTTTTCACAGCGCAGCTTTGATTGGTGAAATCTTTTTTTTTTCTTTTTTTAATGCGACAGCATTTTTGAGGTACCGTACTTCACCCTGTTTTCGCGATACGCCACCTGGCCTCGAATGCGCCGCTCATATGGCGCCGCGCGTATGCTGACCGGCAGTACGCACTCCTTCAGATTCGCACCCTGTTCGAAGGACCTGACGTCCTTGGCGTCATCCTCGAAGTTGTCCTCCAGGTCGTCCTAGAGGTCGTCCTAGACGTCGTCTTTGATGTCGTCCTAGCGAGCAGATAAACCCGCGCCGCGCATACACAGAGCGGCAGTAGACGCACACATTCACAGCTGCGTCCCAGATACGAAGCAATCATCGGTTCGAGTTGAGCTAGTTGGTACATGGTCAATGATAGTGGTGAAACAGCATGAACATTACACGATTACACAGGGACATGACCAGACACACACACGAAACTGCAATAATGGTGGGGAAGCAGATTGAACATTAAATGATTCAGAGACAGAAGATTAAACGATTACGCAGAGACGAAGCAATCACTCAAGTTCGAAGCTGTGCGCTGCAGTCGCGCCGACGTCAATGATTGCGTCGTAAGCCATTCATAAAATAAAGTGTTAACTCAAAGCTGCGTCGTAAGTCTCATGACAAATGCTATCACAATTCATAGACAACCAACAATAGTGGTTTCTGCAGACCATTTTTTTTTTGTATATTCAAGTGCCTGTCGCTTATTTGTTATTTCTATATGCTCTGCAACCTGTATTTGAACATATAGAAACCGCAGCTTTGTAAAATGCTATAGTGTCCGTCCTTCCCTCCCCCATTCCCTCAGTCTCCGGTCTCCAGAGTAAACACGATAAGCGCGCCAAGTGGCCTGTCCAGTAACGTGACTATTCTTATCAGCTTTCATTTATGAGCCCTCCTTTTTTCGCTCGTCGGTTCGCCTAAGGTGCCCTCAGTCCACACACAAGCATGGCGTGCTACGGAGGTAAGCGAAATGTTTCGAAATTATATCTGCTAACTCAAAAACCGTCTTCTGATGTACTTAACCTTCAGCAAATATACAGCTGACGGTTCGGAAAATGGACTCTGAGAACCTGATTGAGAAATATATAATGGCGGGGTCGGCGTGGCATGGGGAGCTCGATTAGTAGCAGCCTGGCTCTTTTTCCTGTCAATCAATGGTTTCTGCCTTCAGATCAAAAAGTCCCTTGTGATCAAGCCATCGATAAATATTTTGCAGCGTGTTAACAGAAGCACATGCATCAGTATCACACTCGCGGACAGCTTTCTGTAACTATGCAGTCAAAGCTAAGGGCGCACGGACGCTCGCGCACCAATTGAGCGCCGGTCAAAGCTGCGCATGCGCGCTCTTCACTACTTCTGAAATGCCGCAGGAAGTTGTCCGCGTGTATAGAAACTTGCTGTTTAATACGAATAAGAATTTGTTCCTTTGCGTATTCTACCTGACGTCCGTTAAACAAGTATGTCATGCTCTTCGCACCCCGTAAATATAGACTACACGTGAAATGTCGGGGAACCCTTGGCAGGTGACTACACAGCATAGGGAGCGACAACACCCGAGTCAAAAGTCGGAAGCAAGTTTCGAAGCAGTTCAATGCGCGGTTGGGTGTTCTTGAGTGGCATCGCACTTAAGCTGACGGCGTGTCATGCAGATGTGTAGGTGTCAGTGTGGTCAACCTGCACCACATAGAATTTGATCATGGTCAACCTGCACCACATAGAATTTGTCTAGAACAGTTCCGACAACATCTGAAATATCATGCGCAGGAGAGACAGGCGGGGAGGAGTGTCGCTCAGAAATGGAACGTCGAGCAATAAGTATACGCGGCGTCGTCACTCTTTGAGAGACAGCAGTGTTTCCCGCACTGTGTTTGCTCTCTTGGGGCGGTAACTAATCTACCGCCCCACAGCGCCACCAGCCTCATGAAATCATCAGACCGTACCGTAGTTTGTTGATTGCAAGCTAGGGCAATCTCTCGACATTTGTTGGCACTATTAGGGCGGTTGCTAAATTGACGTGACGTGGCACAGCTGGTGTTTTGAAACTTTGAGGGAGACGTCTCCGACTTCCAGCGACAAAGTAAAGAATATACTAACTCGGTACCCAGAAATCTTCCTCGTGACGTCGAACCCCTCCTTATTAGTAAACATTAAAAAAAAACTAGAAAATTGCAGTAAGCTAGGCATTTTCGCTGCAATTATTGAAAATGAGCGTGTTGGTGAATCGATACGAATACTTGAAGGGATAAAACATCGTCCCCGTCCTCGATGTTTGATTCTTTCAAGTATTCGTTTCGCTCCATTCTGCACTCCTGCAGCAGACGCCTTATTCCTTCAACGTGATGTCGTGCCCAGCTTGCCGCCTAAAGCGAGGGTCGCGACCCCCAGAGAAGTCGCGAGTCGATGTCAGAGGGCCGCGAGACCTTGAAGGTCCGTGGCTGTGATTTGCTCTAGGCTCAGGGAAGTAATCCAGCTATACTTAGGGACAACCTTTACTGACATTTCCGAAGAAGTGAAGACCGCGGGAGCACAGCTGTGATCGACGCTCAATGCGCCAGAGCACACGGGTTCCCACAGCTTTGACTTCATTGCGGGCCCACGTCTTTCCCGCGGGCCCACGTTTGACCAGGCTCTCGTTCTCGCGCAGCAAATACGTACAGGCCAGTGTGCGAATGGGTGATCTGCCTCGAGGATCGTATTCCCTACCACGCCGTGCCTGGCGGAGAAGACAGCGGAGAGACCATCTACATTGGTCGTGCCGTCCACAACGGTAGCGTCATCCCGGGCAAGGTGGTGCCGTCCCACAGATGTTGCTACGTGTCCGCCGACGGCGCCGAGCATAGCCACCATGAGTACCAGGTACCCGTGTTTCGAGCCATGCTACCGTTCACGTTGCCGGAAGGTTGCTTCTGAACTTAAGAACCCTGTGCCCCCCAAAAATAGTTCCCAATAAAAAAAAGTCTGTAAAGACAGAAGATTGCATGCCACCCGCTTTGTCATGTAGAAAGCCAGTTTTTGCCCTTTTTTCTTTAACAGACGTAATGAGAGGATCCAGTGTACACGTTTTTTTTCTTCCTTCTTTTTGTCTTGTCTGGCACATCATCAGGGGCCCTAAACTCGTCAAATACAAAGTTGAAGGCGAAAGTTGGCGGAGCGCGCCGATTGGACGCTGGCGACAAAAGCGCCAAGTCATCGTCGTGATAGTCCAATCGGTGCGCTCCGTGAACTTTGACCCCAACTTTGCGTTTGGCGAGTTTAGAGCCCCAAGGCCTCTAACCTCGTCAAGCACAAAGTTGGGGCCGAACTTGACGGAGCTCACCGATTGGCCTATCACGACGATGACTTGGCGCTTTTTTCGCCGACGTCCAATCAGCGCGCTCCGCCAACTTTCGGCTGCAACTTTGTGTTTGACGAGTTTAGGGCCCCAAATGTGCACATTCTCCTACTTTTTTTTTTTTTTTCGTGCGTAAATAAACGATAAATATACAAAAACCTAGTTAAGAATAATAATATTCTTTATTTTTTGCCTTCAAATATGAAACAATGTACTAAGAACGGTGTTCGAACTACGGAACCCCACTTTGTATATTCCATCTCACAAGTGAAGTCCACTGTGGTAAACTAGAGTGGCGAATGGTGTTGGATTGTTAACAAATAAAGTATATTGCGTTGCTGTGGAACTGAAGCGGAAGCGAAATATGTGCGCACGTAAATTTGATTGATGTTATTGACATTTCAGTGATTTGTACCTCCACCCACATTCTCGCGAAACTTCTCACTTGTGGTAATTACCGCAAGCTTAACCTCTGTAAAGAACATCAGCGATAGAGTAAAACGAACTTGGGAGGCTCACCGCCAGCAGGCGCTCACAAACAGATAGGGCGATCAGCTAATACGCATGTAGTTACTGATGCAAGCCGTGGGTAAAACAATTTATGATATGTCAAACACACACACACACAAAAAAAAAACTATGATAGTGCTTGAAGAACAAGTAAATGTTCGCGTTCAACAAACACTCAATTGAGTTGTAGCAGTTGTAGTTATAGGAAGTATTCAGTGGCAGCCATAGTTGTGTGCACGACTGCTGAGCGCGTGCTGATGGCGAGCTTCTCCGGTTCTTTTGCAACGAGTATTCCACACCATCAAGATTGCCGGTCTTAGCAGCCTATTAATGTGGGCTCGTTCTGAGCATGCGCTCTAAACATCACCCACAAATATGGCGCCCAGGGAATACTCCTTATAGCGAAGACGCCTTCTTTTTCACGAGATTTGATTATCACGCTCGGCTTCATTTTAATTTAGAGCTACAGCGAAGGCTACTGGCTCGCACAAACTTTGGAAGGGTGTTGGTTTTTATCAATCCCTCGCGCAATGGATGCAGCTCTTGAAGCTAAGATCTCGTGCTCATTGTGTGTGTGAGTGCTTGGCTTATGCTTTGGTCGGCTAAGCGACAGTCTCAAATAAAAGCATTGCCAAGGCTAGAGCGAGCGAGCCCATGAGACACGATTTCCACGTGTCACTCGACTTGAGTGCAGAACTTTTGTTCAGACTGTCTTAAATAAGATAGTGCTTCGAGCGAGCCGGCCTTCTATGCAAGCATGAAAATTCCCACATTGCCCTTGGGGAGGAATGCATAAACAAAAGCACGTTTCCACGCTATTGAATCTGACACTCGAGGGCCATAGCTACGGTGTAAGATATGTCGTGGCCATAGCACTAAAATTCCAAGTCTTGCTTCCATTTTTCTTTGCACGTGTTCAGGCCCTTGTCACGGAGAGCAGCCAATTCGACTGGATCCCAGCCTCCGACGGATTCCTGCCCAGCGGTGCTGTTCAAGGAGGCTCGTGCGTGACCGGCGAGCCCCTTTACATCGGTCGGACGTACCACGAGGGCACCCTGACTATCGGAAAGATCCAGCCGTCCCACCGTTGCCTCTACATTCCCTACGGCGGCGAAGAGCACTGCTACCACGACTACGAAGTGCTTGTTTGCAAGACCGTCAACTTTTGAGCATTGATGGAGAGGCCCCAGAACTGGCCAAGGTAGCGCTTGGGTGAACTAGCACAGTGGCTCAGATGGCATTCTCTTTTCAAAGTCTAGGTGGAGTATCACCGAGACACTAGGACTAATAAGCTTTTCAGTTCAATTGATGTTGCTGTTTTGGGGGTTTAATGAAGTGTATGTGTAGCACCTACTTGGGGCTTCAAAGTTGCGGTAGGGGAAGGCTTCCCAACGATGCTGATCCCGATTTATTTGCTTCGTCCGCAGGTTGCCCGCTAGTCGCTCTGGCGATAATTGTGGAAAATAAAAGTCCAGATGTGAATATATAATTGAAGACTTAATTCTAGGGCGTAATTAGTATCGTGTAATCCATACCCAACCCAGGCGTCTGACTGTACTGGGAGATTCAAGGCTTCTAGCAAACCTTTTGTACGCTGAACACAAACGAAAATTACGGCAATATTTTGCTCTTCGAATCCTCAACAACATGGCGTTTACGATCTTCGTTGACGCGATACGATTTAGACTATACTTTAAAATTTAATTTAGATAACGAAATGACGGGGTGACGCGGAAATGTCTAAATAGACCTTTTGCTAATTTACCCGAGCATCAAACAATGCCGGGAACGTATAGGTACACGCGCTGCACGCGTTCGCCTTTTCTCTACAAAGCATTCGAAGTAAACAACCAAATTAAGACGTTGGGGAACGAGCGTGCTAAGTGCCATTAGTTTAGAATTTCTTTATTTTTATTTTTTACTTTAGAACAGTCACTGTTGCAGAAGGTAGTACGCGCAACGGCGTACTGCCCAACGTTATTAGATTTGCTCAGTGACGGAACGGCTCATAGACGCTGCTTGCACGAGCAATAGCCCCCTCACTCACCACGACTCGCCTCCCGTCATTCGACGAGCCGGACGGCCGCTATGGTAACTGCGTGTATTCTGTGAAATACGTATGTACGTTTCGAAGCACAGCCGTCTAGATGACGTTTCACCGTACTCTATAAAACACACAGTTATGAAATGGAAATATAGGTGGCGCTCCAAACGACGGGGGGCGGACTGAAGTGACTGAGGTGGGGTACTCCCTTCCGCGGGAGTTCCACAACTGAGGTAATCTAGTTAACGTTGGCACTACCTTCTGCAGTACGCGCTGCTGAAAAAAGGCAGAACTACGCTTGCGCACGCTCCTTGAGCTTGGGTAATTTAGCAGAAAGTTTATTAGCGCTTAACGAAGGATTGCTGAATGCACCAGTGAACGCGCCTCAAGCAGCGGTCCTACTCCGAATACACCCTACAAATGGCAGCCTACAGACACCGTCTGAAGCGGATTTCTTCCTCGTGTCCTGTTACATTGTTCATACAAAAAAAACTGTCTACATAAATTTTCGAGGCCTACATGCGTTAGGCGTGTCCGCAGACGATTTTGTCCTCATGTCTGCAGCGAACAACGTGTTTTTTAGATGATGTATGAACAGTGGGACTGCGGCTTCACGATAGCTTTTAGTAACAACTCACAAAAAGCATACTGTTTTTTTTATTTGTTGTTTTTCATTTGTCACAGACGAACTGGCAGGTATTGTTTGCTCTGCTTTCCCAGGTCCCGACAACGAAGGCAAGTCGTGGCCCAATCTAGGCTCATTACCATTGGGTTCAGATTTAATGAGCTGCCGCGGAGGTCTACAGGCCCCGCAAAGATGGCCAGAACGAGTAGCTTAATCGAAAATCGAAGTCACCGCCGACGTCCCCGCGGTGGGATTTACCTGCGTCGCTGCCCCGCGCTGTGCTCGTCGCTGTCTTGTCCGCGCTCGCAGTTCCCGTGGCAGGTGTCCCAGTTTAGAAAGCCTTTTAATTACACGGCCAACCGCGTCCCTGAACCAAATACGACGCCTCATCGAGCTTGCTTTCTTATCCGTCCACGTTTTATACATAGCCTGCTCTAGAGTGTTATCGGCCCGACTCGTTGACAGATTAAGACAAAAAAGGAAGTTGGTGCATTGTTAGTGTACGATGCACAAAGTAGTCCTTATACAACATTTGGTCGTCGGGGGAGGAAACGATGCCTTTTGGCGTTTGAAACGTGTACGTCTTGGTAGAATAACGTATAGCTCATCTGAAATGCACCTTCAAATATCTGAGTGCGCCACGTAAAGGGGTAAATTGGTAATGATCCGCGAAGAGCCGGACTTTTCAAACGCGAAGCCTTACTTGTCCCATTAAAGGAGTCATGAAACGATTTACCTACTTCTTCCTCCTTAGCTTTAATCCTCAACTCAAATGCGAATTGTAAAATCACGTGGTCGTGACATTCCTTCGGCACCGGTGCGATGACTCCTATAGCTTCTACCGTGCTTTTTATGCACACCATAAAACTTGTCATTCCCCAGTGACAATACGTTCCGTCTGGGCACTCATTGGCCACGAACGCGAATCCAAATATTCGTCGACGGATTGATTGTTGACGAGCGCATGCGTCCGAGTGACGCAGTTCTCGTGTCCAATGCGTGAGCTGGGCTCTGCTGACGTCAGTTTGGCGCCGGTGACGCGCTTTTGGAACCGTGGATGTATCATAGTGAAAACGCGGAGAGCTTTCGAAGGCAAGAAGGTACAAAATTGTCCGCTATATTTTCAAATGTTCGTACCGAAAAGCTGGCTGTTGACCTTCTACCCTCTTTCTTTTGACCAACTAAACAATATGCGATTAGTAAAGCCCCAATTTAAAATCATTCATCCCAACCCAAAATTCGTTTCATGGCCCCTTTAAGCGAAAAAGCGGCGGCGTTCTGCCCGACAGGCGGTCACACCAATACGTCATCAAGCACGCCCCTCAGAGATAAAACACAAAGAAAAGCACAGCAAGGCGGATGCTTCGTCACGGGGAAGCCGTCGTGAAGCCGGCGGGGTTCGCCGCGCCTGCGCAGTGGGGGAGCGTGATGTCACCGCCGGAGCGCCGTGTGCAGAAGGAAGACGTGGTGCGCAGCTTGTAGGAATACTCTGTGTGTAGGAATAATTTCGCATTCTTAGACGTAAAAGGTCTTGAATGTGTCTGCCGAATTATATATATATATATATATTTACTGTGGTTCTTGAGGTGAATACGAGTATTGTGTTATAACCATATCCGTGTCTTATCTCGAGTATACTTGTGCGTCCTTTAATTGTAGCGATTGGAAGCTCCCTCGTAGCGACTGGAAGCTCACTTCACAGGAGGTGGCGCAGCGATGCTGATTGGTACACCCGCCGGCAATATGAAGGTGAACACCTTACCTGGTTTCTTGCCTGTTTTACGGCTCACTAAAGCTATATTAACTCTCAACATCTCAAATGGTACGTGACTTGGGGTCTAAACTTTGCGTTCTAGCCCTCTTCCGGAACAGAGCTTGTCCCAAAACTTGCAGGGGCGTCAAAAACAAGACGAGGGCTGTTCACCTTCATGTCGCTCACGGGTGTACGTTCATACATGAATTGAAAAGAGAAACACGCTAAAACTCGACATCACAAAAAAAGAAAAAGTTGTATTTGCCGACCGGAAGCGCAATATATGACCGTATTCGGAAAGGTAACGCTGAGCGTTACCTTCCGAAGTTTATGAATTGCGTGTTGCGTAATGAACACATGAGAACTATCACACGAGGGCGAGGGACCAGAAATATGACTTCCTCGAACTAGACATTAAATATTTACACAGAAAAGTTCTCGGTCTGTCTTTGAGGTATAGCGGCGACACGGGTTCTCGCTGTAGATAAGACATGCAGACAAAGAAACACGACCACAAACTCGGGGTCTATAACGTACTACATTACGCAGTAGTCAAACGACTAAACGCCGCTACGATGCTCATTCATGGATATCGAAAACAGGCAAGGGCGACGGTCAAACCCATAAATTATCTCCGAGTAGGAGGTTTCACTTCACGTGCGCTGAGCCGCATTGCGTTCATACTGTCACAAGACACACACACACACACAAATCTTGCACGTGAGGGTGAGAAACCAGAAAAGGTGACTTCCACTATAAATCTTTCAAATACCGCTCTTTTTGTTTTTCCTGCAACTTAGAAAAGCTTGTTAAATTTATTGTGACCGAATGCGCCACCGTTGTATTTTGCGCTCAATAAATCTCTCGATGAATATTCGGGTTCGCGTTCATAACCACTTGGCGCGGTGACAACTTGTAACTCTCTAACGCAGCATGTGCTCTAAGCATTGCCCACTCAGCAGGTGGTTATGATATATACAAAGGTCTCACGGGCTGCGAACAGAAACACCTGCCGGCTTGTTCTGGCCGCTAGATGAGAAGTCAACCTGCTCAATTTTCTCCAGTGAATTTTCTCTATTTGTGATGTGCGCGACCACGAGCGTCGCTTCGGTCGGCTATCCATGATTGGTCAAACACTTACTCTCAGTCTTTAGTGGGATTAATTTTAAGTGAGAAAACAGATTTATTGGAGGAATGAATATTTCACAATATTTTGATAAAGTCGTCGAAAGGAAGAAATGTCAGATTATCAACTTCGACGGTGCTTGGTTTATGAACGTGATGACTGCAAGCTTCCACCGTGCATAATGTTTGTAAACACACCAATCGAACTTGAGGTTCAAAAACTTGTGTTGAGTAGCCAGGGTCACAACTTGTTACGTGGCGGCGAGGTAAATCCTGGTCGTGGCGTCACAAATGGGAACCATAGGAGGACGCTACAGACACATCTCGGCGCTAGTGAGTTATCTCGCGGGAATAAAAAAAAAACAAATGCATTTTTATATAGAGTGTCTACAATGGGGTTCATATTACATGAGCGAATGATGTTTTAGTGAACGACGCCATTTTTGCGATTGTGCGAATCGACGTTTTAGCAAAAAAAAAGTTCACGTTACCCCCTGCAACCCCCCCCCCCCCCCCCCCCCCCCCTTTGCTGCTGCGTACACGCCGCTTCGCGGCTGCTCATTACAAAAATATTAATATACGTGGCCCACCCGAAAACGGCACTTCGCGGCAGCCGATCATTCGCTAAAGTGTCTTTTGATGAAAAGTGGGCGTTCGCTAATAGGTCGTTCGACCGACTGAGTGCCACCCGTGGTGCATTTTACCTGGTGAAATTTCAAAGCGGAGCCTCTTTTCCGTGAAAAATAAGAACAAACTTGTCAGTCTCTGACGGCGGATATGCTAGCAGACGACCGATTTAGCCATGGTCGTAACTTGCGTCCCCTCCCGATAACCGCAGCGAGCAGACGACGCACTCTGTCGCCTGCCCGCTACACCGCTCGTTACGACTTTTTTTACAAGTGAAAGGGATACTGAAGCGAAACTTGAAATACACCTATTATG